TAGTGTGGAAATGAACTTGAGCAGTTAAATAATAAAAATAAATCCCTGTGAGATTGTTTCATTTAAAGAGCTTTTAGATGCCTCTCAAAGAAGAAAATATGCAATATTTCATTAATAAAAAGGAAACAAAACCTTAGATAAAAGTCTGAAAAATATAAAGTTTCGTCTAACAGACATGTATGTTTATTTATGCTGGATTCTTTAATTATCTTGTCCTCCGGTTGGTAATCACTGCTTTAAACTTTCAAATTTTTATCAAGAATATAACTTACATGTGGACGACAGACCCATGTTTGTAAAGAAATATCAGGGTTGGAAAGTAACGAAGTATGTTCACTCTCGACATTGAAGTACAATTGAAGTAGGCTACAATTTTTGTGCACTTCTACTTTACTTGAGTATCTCCATTTTGAGCTACTTTATACTTCCAGTCCTCTACATTTCACAGGGAAATATTGTAGCTACTTTTTACTCCACTACATTTAACTGGCAGCTTTTAGTTACTTTTCAGTTTTACATATAAAACCTATGAGTTGCTAAAATGATATATTGTTCAGGGTTAAGCCTACAATTTCTGACATATTATGTGTTCGAGCACATCAGCTGACCACGTGATCGCCGCTCTGGGCATGCTCGCTCCCGAGAGGTGGAGGTTTGGCATCTCAGGAGGCGCACAGACAGAGGGGAAGGTAAACTCCCGACTCAAACAAAGGTGTCGGAGAATAAAACGACCAACAGGGACTTTTCACCGCATTGCATTACTACTTACACACTTATTTATTTTTTTGCGGTTACATTTGCAGTTTAAACCCGGGATCAGACTCCAGAAGTTGACTTGATGTCGGTGTGTTCTTGGGACGGGGCGGAGAACGGTTAACGTTTGCGTAAAATGAGAGGCGAGGCCGCTGACGTTTTCTTTTCAGGTTTTGACGACCTGAAAAGAAAAGGCTCAGAGTTTTATTTGCCTGTCAAAGATTTAAAAACAATGTTGACATTGCATAAATTAAACACAACTATTTGTTAATACTTGGACCAAACCAATCAATGTTTCAGCTTCACATGTGTCTGTTTTCATGTCGTAGTAAGCGCACATGTTGTTTCTTGTTGTAGATTATTGGTCAAAGACAGATTACTCAGCTGAAACGCTGTGACGCGCCTGATGTCCTGTCTCCAACACGATGTCACTGTTGTATCAACAAATGGAAGAGTTGTAAATTGAGAGGCACGAACAAGGAGGTTCAGTACACTCACAACGGAAGCAAAGTGGCGAATAACCTTATAAGGGTGCTGATGACTCCAAAGTAGGCCCAGCCCTGTACAGGTCAGCCACCCATCTGGGCCTCTGACCCCACCGTCGGTCAGTGCGCGCCCTTCTACAGCAAAGCCGAGTGTGACGAGCACTGCGGAGTGGTGAATGATGGAGAGTTGATAAAGGACATGTAAAACACACTAAAACACACATACCGCATCTCAACCAGCATGTGATAAAAAAAAAACATGTCATGTGTCTTTGCTCAATTGCAGAGGGAGCGCTTCTGAAGGCAAACTGAGTGAGATGAGGAAACATCATCACACAGAGACGCAACATGAGGCAGCGTCATGTGTAAATACTGTATGTACAGAGGGTAGTTGAGTCTCGTCCAGAGCTGCAGTATGTCCTGCAAACGCGTCAATTTCTATCAGTGATGCATGCGAAAGGTCACTCCACAAAATGTGAGGTATAAATGAAAATGTTATGTTTATCATGTTTTTTGGCTATAGTATATGTTTATGTCTTATACGATTCAATTAACAATAAGTCCACATAATTATGAGCAAACAGCGAACTTCCCACGTGCAACTAAAAACGTATTGTTAGTATTATTATGGTGGCATTGCCCTTTAAATGGGTTATCTCATGGGCGGGTAAGCGATCTCGCGATATTTGATGTAACCTCGACTCCTGTTTACTTGGTTGCGTCCTCCCTCCAGCGCCAAATCTTTCCTTCCACTCCGCTTGAATAAGAAGTCACAGATCGTGTTGTGTGCAGGCCGCCGACTTCTGACAACTTGAAACGCAATCCTATCGAGCAGAGATGGACATTTTGACTGTGTTGCCGTCCCACTTTGGCTATGCCATATTCACCTACCTCTACAGCTGGATTATGCTGGGCTACTTGGCAGTAAAAGTCGGGGGTGCCCGGAAGAAGTACGACGTCAAGGTAGTTTGAGTTTACTTTAGCGGACAATCATTTAAAGTACACGTGAACTTAATAATAAACCCTCATCATTGCATTTCTAGCTATTATATAATGTGTTGTTTCTCTTCGCTCTACTTTGCAGTATCCCACAATGTACAGTGACAAGGAGCAGGTATTCAACTGTATCCAGAGAGCGCACCAGAACACGCTGGAGGTGTACCCTCAGTGGCTCGTCTTCCAGACCATTGCAGCTCTTGTCTACCCGGTATGTATCATTTCTACTCAATCATGCATAGCCACGGAATGACGTTGTGCGTGTGGATCTTTTGCCACGCCATTCAGGGCTTGGTAGTCAATTATTTTAGGCTGCTATAATTCTAACCCCACGCTATGTCAAATTTGTGGGAGGGGCAAACAATCCTCATAATCTTTGGCATGAATTCTCCAGATAGCAGAGTCAGAGTGATGAAGCATTTTTTTTTTTTCCTCAAACTGGATCACCCCTGCATTTTCCCAAACTGTTTGTAATTCTTTCTTTTTGTTTGTGTATCATGTCAGTTATCAGCATCGGTGCTGGGGGCTATTTGGGTGACCAGCAGGTTTTCCTACGCCTGGGGCTACTACACAGGAGGTAAGACTGACATTCTGTTAATGTGAAAGGACTTAACGAAGGCCAAAAGGCCTTACCCAAATATTTCTATAGTGACATAATGCATTGAAAATGCAGACCACCAATATTATTTATATGTAGCCTATAAATGTGTGCAGTATAATAGTACATGGGTCAAAGTTATACAGTTTGAGTGTAGGGGAATTTAAGGCTTGAAACTCAATCTAGCGCTGCTAGTAATCACAGTGATTGCCAAAGTATTTTGTTGCTCCTCGCCTAGTTTTGTTTAATCATTTACAGAATATAGCATTGTGCAAAATATAATAAACAGCCTGGCTGTGGTCTGAATTATGGTAATTGTTTAAGATAGGTGTTTTTTAATCATTGAATGTATTGTTGACAACATTTTAATTTCAATGTTGGTTATTGGCTTGTGAACAAGTTTAGTATTCATTGTTGTTTCATATAATTCTGCTTTGGTGAAAGTTTGCATTGTTCTGTTTTACGGTTTATTCCAGATCCATCCAAGAGGATGTATGGTGCCTATGGCTACATTGGATACTTCGGTGTCATCTTCCTGTCCATATCTGTAGCCTTGCAGTTGCTTGGAGTCTTTTAAGACAATTGCCATCTTGTTTACTCATTTATACTGGCTTGTATGGCATTTTCAAATGTATCAACTATAAAGTAGCTGTACAATTCTTTGTATACTGATTTCAAATCATGATGCTAAACACATTTTTGTGGACCACTAACTTGCTACTTGATATCTTTTTATTCCATCTATTCGTTTGTGAATGTCTTCATGTGATCGTCAATAAAGTAAAGTAGATGCTGATTGATGCTACAGCCCTGGGGGGGGGGGTTTCTCCAGTACCCTGTTTGCAGTTGCAGGCCTTACATTTTGTGAATAATGAAAGGGGCTGCAGCATGCTTGAAGGCCCCATGTGACTCTCACATGATGTCCCAGGCACGGGTCTCAGATCCGATTATACAGCAAACGGCTTCAAGAACACCAACAGGTTGTTTTAGCAATCAATAACGGATCTAAGAGAATGTTCTGTTGATTGTGTCAACTTCTTTCCTCTGAGATAAAGTGTAAACTTTCAATAAACAGCATGTTTCAATCAAGTTTTTAGCTGCTCTGCACCAGCACCACTGAAACACAGATTAAGTAAATAGGCCTGTATTCAAGGAAATGTAATGCTCACACGCTCTCCAATATTTAAGTATTTTTTTATTATTCAGTATTTATTTTATTATATTTGTTTATTGTTTTAGATATGTGATGATTTAGTTACAAATGTAACCTACTCTTGTATTATTTTCAGTATCGATTCCTGTGACGTTGTCTCGTCTACAAAATGCTCTTCCGCAATGCTACCTTCATGAAGTAGAATTAAGCTCGTACTTAGGCGTTACCCGTAAGTAACGTGTGTGTGCTGCCATTTTTTGGGGGGGATAACAACGAAGTCGGCTTTGTATAATTTGGTTGTAACAAGGGTAGCACATATATTGAGTACTGTATTCTGAAAACTGTTGCATTACACCGAAGAAAATGCGCACAGTAGGCCATGTTTTCTGTTCCATCATTGTTAGTATGAACTACGAGGTGATACTGCCCGCTCCCATGCGCTCATTATACGTTCCGTCTTTTTCACATCCAAGTAATTGAACGTATTGATATCCCTACACATCAAATAGGCCTGCTACTTTTTGAGTGGTCCATTCGCTTGCAATGTTGCACAAATTCCCATTTTGTTCACAACACCTGAATGCAACAATATCAACGGCGTCTCAGTGGTTCCCTCATCAAACGAGTGTGTGTGAACTGCGCATGTGCAGGACCCAGCTCTATCGGAAGCAAAGTCGGGTTTATCGAGGGGGCTTCACATCAGAAAAACGAAAACAAAAGGTACGAAATCCTTTAAAATAATGACATTAACGTCACAACCCAGTCGTTCTGGCGGGGAGTGTGTTTTAGCTCGGTACTGCTGGTGTCTTTGGAGTTATGCTGTTATTTCTAGCAACTTCGTAGCGAGAAGAAACCTTCAAGGAAATGTTTGCTAATGCCAAAGCGATGAACAAAAGAATGCAACGAGGCGACACGGCCCTGTTTTTAGCTACTGTAAAGTTATGTTGTATGTACAACTATAAACGTCGACAGCCTTATTGTCGACTAGCGTAGACGTCATCGAGCTATAGTG